CTCCAACAACAGTACCCAATAATCCCTACTTCGATTTTCTTGTTTCCACACAGAGAGCAACAGCAGGTGGAGACATGGTTTCAATCTTCAAGTCGTCCAAATTCTTGCCTGGCCGCCTATGCAATGCATCCAGCCTTTAACCCCAGCACTTCAATAAACATCACAACCTGAAATCCTAAGCCTGACATCCCCCAGGTCGCAGTCAAATGGGCGTTCTTTTGAGGTTTCCGCTCTCGTCTACGATAGGATAACCCCCTTGAGCCGTAGGCTCACGACTTTACAGCCTACACCCTCTGCCAAAAATCGTAAACAGTCGACCGAAGCCCCCAAATCCTCAAACACTCGACCGAAAATCCTGAATCCAATCCCTGAAACGCTAGGTTCCAGGTCCCAAACAATCCTTAATCCAAAGCCCCAGCCCCTGCAGGACCTGGCGTCGTTTGGAGTACCAACGGCCTTCAGGCTTGGCTGACGGAGTCTGGGATCGAGGCAGGGGCATCAGACTTGCAGAAAAGTTCTACGATTTTCGGAAATAGTCTACAATTCGCTTTCAACAGTCAAGCCGTTTAAACGAGAAACACATCTTGGAACTTGCTCGAAAAAAGCTACCGTTTTTCGAAAAAGCTGCATCAACACACAATCATAAAGTAGAAGTTGTCGAACATCAGCCCTTTCAGTGCAAGAAATCTTATGACAAATGATCATGTCCGTGAAAAGCCTTTGCTTTGCCTAAAGAATCTCTGAAATCGCAAGAAGTGTCTTCAAGACTCTTATTCAACACTGTTTATTATCAGGGTTTTGCGTCAACATCGCAGATGATTTGATAAAAGCTCTTGATCTTTGGGCTAATTTCTAGACATGCTTGATGAATCAGCCTTATATTTCTGAAGCCTGACGCCCTCTCAATCTGAAGCCCCAAACCTTAGAAAACAGGTTGGGCCAGCAACTTTTCTTTCCTGATCTTCCAAATGGTTAGGATGTAGGGTTCAGGGAAAATTGGAATTTGCCATAATTTGCAGGGTTTGGTGTTCAGGGTTAGGGTCTAGGGTTTTTTATTAACGGGTGGTTAGCAGGGAATGGGTAAAACGAAAGACACGTGCTAGGCAGGTTCTAAGGTCTGGGGCTCAAGATTTAAGGTTTCGGGTTCGACGCTTGCGGCGAGTTTATGGGTCGGGGTTCCAAAAGTGTGTGGAGTTTGCCGTTTAGAGGTTTAAGGTTCAGTGTTTATGTTCAGAAGGATCTGTTGATTTGTCCAGCGAACAGACATGAACTGGTAAGAGCAACATTTCTTTTGTGGTTGTATGGTGCGTGCAGTTTCAAAGTTGTCTACGGGCTCAAATAGGTGATCTCAAGCTCAGGTTTTCCTCACACATAGCTAGTAAGGAATAAAGGAGGACAGAGGGGACTGTTTTTGGGAATCACTCCTGCCTTCTCTACGAATCAGCCACGAAGAAGTTTCACATTCAGGGTTTATCCTTTGGTGTTTGGCGTTGGGGAAGCCAGTTTCTAGGCTTGCATAGGCACAGGGGCTTGGAAATTTCCACAAGCGCCTAGGTCTAAATAGGCTTGTTCTTGTGGCGCAGAGTGAGCACTCCTTCGACATACCATTTTTTGCAGCCCAAACTGTCTTTCGCAAGCCCTGAGCCCTACAAATGAAAAAGCTGTCCGTAAGTCCCATGTACCCGAAGCACGATTCATTAATGGGTTCTCAGGCTAGCCATTCCTTGCAGAGTCGCATCTCTGCCATAGGTACAGTGGTGCCAACAGCCGTTTACGGATTATAGGGAGTTGCACAGCTACCGTGGTTATCCAAGGGAATCCCAGCCATAACATAGCAGTCCTTATCCTTCCTAAATACTGAGCCCACAACCGCTATCATTCCCAAATCCTTGAATCCTGATCTCGGCCATACTTACATCCCTGGTCTTTTCATGAAAGGTGTCCGACCTGGATCTAGAGACTGCAGACCACAAAGCCAAGGAGCCCATTGCTATGAGTGGGGGTATTGTATGTACCCCTGAGCCTAAAGACCTAAGCCTAAACCCTGTAGCATGCCTGGGTAGTATGGGGGTTTCTGAGAACGGGGTATGCTTACTTTATATCCTAAACCGAAACCATAGGATATATGGGTGCAGCAACAAGTGGATCTCAAGAGTTTCTCTCAGGGATTATGTCAGGATTATTTTGAAAAACTACTACACCTGAGGACGTTCTTGTGATGTTTCTGAAGAGCGCATGTTCTGAACCTGTTTAGGATTGAGGGACATTAGCAAATCATGGGTCGTCCAGTTCTGGGCCACAGACATAAGCCTACCTTTGGGATAAGATTGATGTTGTTGAGACGTTGTTGGGGTCTTACATCCATTTAGGTTTGTCTGGAGGGTTCGTGTTTGCACCGCTGCAGCTATGGTTTCTCCACTGTTTTGCCCCTCTGAGAGGTCATGTAGGATGTGTAGTGATCATACAGGGCTTTATGGGGGTTACATGGCGGTGTCTACGGGTTGTATGGCTGTTGCCACCACGCCAGTAGGGTTTAGGCTTTGCGCAGTCTTGCAGGATTTGGGTGTAGGCCCAGGAGTCAATTAGAACTCTTGCGATCTTGGCGCAGATATTGGGCACACCTAGTTCTATGCAAGACCCTGAAGCTTAAATCCGCTTCAGATGCTAACATCGTTAAACCCCAGCAGAGACTTGAACAAGACCTCTACGTACTATAAACACAATCTGAAAGCCCCTAGTTAGGCTCAACACCAAAGGAGTACCTAGACCTGCACATCCTGAGCCCTGCTGATGTATGCATAACTGTTGCAAGCATCTGTTTTTCCTTGACATTTGCTATCCGGGCCCAAAATCCTGAGCCTGAACTGCTGCCACTTGTCAACCAGTAAGCACTGCTTGCGTTCCCTAGATTCCTACTTCTGGACAGAAAATTCAGCAGCGGCGGTGACACCAAAATAGGTATTTACCAGACTTAGATCCCAGACAAGTCCCAAGCTAGACCCTCGACACCGCCCAACAGTCTAACCCCCCCGAGCCCAGAAATCCATTTGTTGAGGAGCTTGGTTTTCCGCCGTTCCCTCGAGACTGAGGCCCTTGCATTCCCTTGAGAAGAGGATGGGTGCGGGGAACGAAGAGACGTTTGTATCGTGGGTTTGGGGAGTTTGGGGCCTGGCATTTTTCGAGGGCTGCCTTTCTTGACCAAGATGGAGCCGCACACTTCAAGACGCCAACATCTGAGGAATTCATGTTCGGTTGCTGGGCCGGCAGATTGGGTCTGAGATTTGGAAGGTTCCCTGTCGAGTCAGTGTTGTCGCGTTGAGCACGCTGTCTCTGAGCAGACGTCTGGCTCCTTGAACCAAGATATCCCTGCGCAACCCATTCCCGTATTGCGACCAATTGTTCCACAAGCTGCCACTTGCATCAAACCATTCCTCCCTGGGCCTCAACGCAGCAATGGCACTTCAGCTTTGGGCTGCCTTCCTGGGCTTTTTACTGGTTGCCTCGGAACGTGAGCAAGAAGGAGAGCTGCTGGTAGCAACTCGGCCTGGATCCCGGGGGCCGAATGATCCAGCTCTTGCAGGTTAGTTTAGGTCTTGAAGATTCGGGTTCTGGATCTGTCAAACAAACCTTTTATGATTCTTGCTGTTGAGCTTCTTCTTGGTAGTTACTTGGAAGGTGAGAGGGACTTAGTGAGTATGTTAATAAGGGAATAGCTGGGGCTGCTGTATGGGTTAAGTTATCGGGGTATTAATTACTTACTGACTAAGTCCACCTGACCCTCCAAGTAGTGTTGGCATCGCTGTACTGGGTTTTGCCTGGCTTTGCCATGCCTGCGAGGACAAAAGGGTGGGTGCTCCTTGGTGGAGTTGCAGCTTGGTCTCAGCATGCCTCATTCAGCAGCCCTTCTGATAGCAAAAGTATGGGCCCCGTTCGGGGCTGCTAATGTTGGGATCCCTGGGGCCGACCCCACCAAACTGCTTTGGGCCCGCACCAACACCTATAGGGGTTTCAATTTTGAAGATGCATAAAGACTGCTTGTTTCCTTACAAGATTGGAGGATCGTTTCGCTAACCGGTATGCGAGCATCTCATTACGGGGAAGCCAAACATCCCGATATCCTGAATAGCAGTGGATTTGGAGGTCCAGGCACTGAAGTGGAAGTTTCTGTGCCGGTTGGACGTGGGAAAGCCCGAGTTGCTGAAGCCGAAGCCCAGCTTCATGCAAGGTATAAGCTGTATATGGGCGCCCAAATGCTTGCAAATTGTCCTATATTCAACTGTAAAGACGGTTGAGCAATCCGTAGCTGCACAATGTTTGACCGTTACCGACAAGCGCCAGACTGCCTATGTTCGGTATCCTGTCTGCTATGATCTTATAAGGGTATCATGAAAATCTCAGAGATGGGTTCTGCCGGAACTGGAGAAGAATACATTTGTTTGAGTTTTCAGCAAAATCATGGACGGAAATTTGGCGCACGCGGGACCTCGCCTTCAGCACGGGCAAAGACGATGCACTCTGTGCCGTTTTGCATCTTCCGCCTGTTACCTGTACATGCCACGGCATGGGTGAGTAGTGTTTCTTTGGGAATAGTTACAGCCCCCACAATAGAGTAAGATTATATCCTCCCTTTGGGTATGGTGCTTTATGAGACGAACGTGATCTCACTAGGTTCAGCCATCAAAAGAACGCTGCTCAGGTTGTGTGTTGTAACCGAAAATAATCATTGTTCCTACGGTGCTGCTGGAAAGATTATGATCATCAGCATTGTGCCTGTCCAGACAGACCACCCAGGCAAAAAGAGGGAGAAGCTACTGCGGCGAGGGCTGGAACAGCTAGGAGTTGGCCATGAATACTTCGGGAGCAACGCGAAGAAGGATAGCCATAGCAAGTGGACCGGAATCCAATGCTTTGATAACTCTGAGTGCATGGTGAAAAGGGTAAAAGCTTCCAACTTGGATGGCAAAACCATTGCTGGCCCTGTCGCTCTGCCTGACGTAGAGGAATTGGTGTTGGAGGGGAATATCAAAGCCAAGCTCAGGGACTTCAGCACCATGAAGTATTTGAAGCTCCTGGTCCTCCTAAGCACCGAGATTACAGGCAGCCTTCAGGACCTGCACGGCATGAGGGAGTTGGAATCGCTGACTGTCAAAGGCACAGAGGTCACTGGCAGCCTGAAAGATCTACAAGGCATGAAGAACTTGAATCACCTGGCCCTCCACTGCACCCAGATCACTGGCAGCCTCGAGGACCTGAAGCGCATGAAGAAGATGAAGCGTCTGATGCTCTATGGCACCGACATAACTGGCAGTTTACAGGACCTGCAGGACATGCAAATCTATCACCTGGCCCTCTACGGTATGTCCATCACTGGCAGCTTGAACGAGCTGCAAAGCATGGGGCAAATGATTAAGTTGATCCTCCGCAGCCCCTGGATCATTGGTAGTCTGGCGGACTTGCGGGGAATGTCACGAATGCTTGTGCTGGCACTTCAAAGCCGCCATATCAATGGCACGATCAAAAGTCTATCCCAGATGTAAAAGCTCGGGGTGCTGTGCCTTCAGAGCGAGGAAATTACAGGCAGCTTAAATGACCTGAAAGACGTTATGCCGCAGCTTCGCGGACTGGACCTTGTCAGCACGAGCGTAGATGGCGCTTTGATCGCCCTCAAGGGCAACAAGGTCGTGAGGGATGAATGCTAATCTGCAGCTAGGCCTCCATTGGAGCTACGCCTTGGCATTGGGCGTGGGGTGTTTAGGTTTTAGGGGGTCTAGAGTGTAGGGTTCAGGGTTTGGGGTGTTTAGGTTTCAGGGTTTAGTCCCGATTTGATTCAGGTGCTCATGAGGGCGTGGTTTTGTTTCCCGTGGTTTTTGGGTTGTTTTTGGGTTTCATGTCACCAAAGTGGATGGCTCGTTGATCGCACTGAAAGGGATGACGGTCCTCAAGGAGTTCTGCTGATCAAAGTTTGGCTCGCCGTGCTGGACCGCAGCTAGGCTTCAGGAGTCGATCTTGCTGCGTAAGCCCGCGCTCAAATCCTACGCCTTCAACACCCAAGACTTACTGGCGGTTAGGGAATAAGGAAAATATGATCCCTATATAATCCTTATATAACATATTCCCATATTTCCTACTGACCTTCGGTTAATTACAGAAGTACACCACTACCCTTGGTTAAAGAAATATGAGCAGCTTAAGCTTTCATCCAGACCTTGACTTACTGGGGCTTATTAGGGAATAAGGGAATGTATTATGTAGGGGTTAATGACTGCCTGCTAACAACCAGTAAGTTGAAGACGCGAGGAGCTCATAGGGGCGTAGAGAGGATGGGGCTGGGGGTTGGTTGAAATTCTACGTGCTTCTTTGGCAGGGTGTACCCCAGTGAAAAGCTTGTATTCTGCAGCGATGAAGTGAGTAAGCTCTTTTCGTGACACGGAAGTAGTCTCCAAAGCGAGGAACACTGCATAAACCTCTAAACGAGGGTCTTATACCAGTACTTTATGCCTTTTAGGCCTGATGACCAAGTTTTCCAAAGCCTAGATCCATTTCATCACGAGAGTAGAGCAATTTCCGCTGCAATCATCATTGGTTGTGTGGGGGGGGGGGGGTTCGGCTGGGTTATTGCTTTCAGTGGCCCTGTGCTGCTAGGTAGTGCCAAGGTGGGCAGTTTCTCATAGCCCTGGGATACCACTCCCAGAAGATACCGATCTTATTGATGTGCTTATGAGACTACTGGGTTGCTGTTAAGGAACTTAAATTAAGTTACTATATTGGAGACACCGTATTATTTACTATTTACTATATATGCCCATTATGGTAACTTAATTTAAGTCCCTTAACAGCAACCCAGACTATTGTGAAGGTTGATCGCCTTGCAGTTACCCATCCGCGCAGATAGCTTCAGTGCCTTCAGGCCCCAGTCCCTAAAACCGATCCCCTAAGCCCTAAAACCTTAAATCCTAGCGTTTCAAGGATCCTGTAGTTGCACACCAGAGGGCACCGTGGTAGTTGATCAGAGGCACGTGCTGACCCGATGGCCGGCAGCATCCTAAAATGCATTGCTTGGCGGTCCTCATAAACGTAAGGGCTATATGAGGGAGGTTCTGTCATACAGGGGCCTAAGGAATTACTGAGCCGCTAAGTGCTGGTATCATGTTGAGGGCTTTTGAGGTACCCTATACCCTAATTCTACAATACATCTACGACCAGCAAGGAGTGGAAAGTGAATTGGAAAAGACAACGGAAAATGAAATGGAAACTGGGGTTTACAGGGATATACGGCGTTTTGGGTTTGGGCCTTACCTTTGGTTAGCAAGGAATGTAGGAATAGATTCTTATAGTCGTTTCCATGTCCTTTTCCCTTCTCTCATTCCCGGCTAACCAGAAGTAAAAAATCGCAGCCAGCAACCATGCCAAGCCCAGAAGCAAACTAGTGGTTACATGTCCCCCTGACTCCAAGGCTATGATATCCTTTGGTCCGAGGCGGTGGACCTTCGTGGGACCTAGGCAACGATGTAGGCGGAGCAAAGGCTGCGAGAGAAAACGGCGAGTTCCACCTACTTGGTTTAGGGTTTTAGGGTTGAGAGCTTAGGTTCTAGGGACACTTGCCACCCCTTCAACTCCCCCAACTCCACGCCTGCTGTGGTTATTTCCTCCTGTTCCTTCGACGATGCAGCTGCATGACGATTTATTCTGGATACCCTGAGCTGAAGCAGTAGCCACTCGTAGGGCACCTTCGGTGCATAAATCAAACTTTGTGACAAGCACGTGTCGACCCCAGTCCTTTAGAGTCCGAAGCCAAGGGCTGTTGTTCCTTGGTGTCTTGTGGCCTTGCGTGTCAGGTAGTCTTAGACATTAAAGACGCTCCTTTTCCAATCCCATGGTCTCCTGAAAGTGCTCGAGCATAGCTGCACGGAATCATTCGTGGATTTTCTAAGAGTGACTCTGCTTCTGGCATCTTGCGTGTTTTCCTACAAGCCTCCACCTTCAAGCGACAGCCCGACTGAGCCCTAAAGTCAGCGCGCCTTCAAGCCGCACTTAAATCAAACACTAAACGTATTGAGGAAGACATCGTTCCCAATATATGTAGACTGTTTCCCCAGAGATTTAGTTCATCTCAGTCTGCCTCTTTTCAAGTCGGGAGCCCTGCCGCAATCACCGGCCGAAAGCTGTAGTATGTTACATACTGCTGCAGGGTGTCTTTCATGAGCCGACGCAGCAACCTAGTTCTAGTGCGGCAACCTTCATGGACAAACTCTCACAGATTGGTCTTTAAAGATCATGTTGGCAAGCAGCAGGCAAGTCCTTGTAACCCCCCTCACCCGCATACTGAAGCCTTGCTGAGGGATTACATCCTGTACCCACGGAAACCAACATGCTATGACCCTCATCAAACATCTGTGGAAGCCCTAAAGCCCCATACCATCAATGGTATAGCGGTATGAATGCGCCAGGTGTGCAGCACGTGCCGGCCGGTGTTGTAGCGTCACAGCTGGGGTGGAAGTAGGTTGGACATCAGTTTACCGTAAGCCCTGAACTGAGTTCAAGTTAGGGATGAAGTGTTTTTATGGGCGGCATAGTAATAATAATTGTGATAACAACAGCAATAAGACGAATAGCAATAATCATAAGCACCATAATAATGAGGTTCTCGTATCTCTACAACCTTTGGAGAGTTCTGGAGTGGATGTTAGCCGGGCCCGTTACCCTTCTAACAGCCTTACCCACCTGGGGTGTCCTTGAATGATGTTTTGAGAATGATGCAGGCATGGGATACCTGATGAAATATTTACAAGCCCTTCAACCCCATGTGTAAAGATTTCGCAGTGGGCGGGCAAGCACATCCTGCATTCAGATCAAGCATGTGATGGTAGTATTGCTTATGCGAAGACTGCCAGAACGTCGGAGCAGCATGCAACAGGAATGCAACGATAATGATGGCAGAGAGATGATAAGAAACACCAAAGCCTACACCCTGACCGTCCCTACCTGGATCCATAGATGCTGAATCCGACAAATACCCTGCCCAAAGCCCATATAGTCCTTTCTTGAAATGGGCAGCGCAAGCAGTCTTTGTAGGGCCAGTGTGTGGAATTCATGTTAGCCTGCGGGAAGTATTTCCCCAGAAAGCCTAGCCCCCAAACGCTTTGGAGTGGTTTGTATGAGAAGTAATCACTTCCCGTCAGCAAACGCACGCCCTCCCAAGAAAGTACCAAAATGCACGCACCCCTGGTGAAAGTTTAAGAGATGCCCTTATTGAGTTTAGGGTTTGGGGTTTGAAGAGGCTTGTTTATTGCGATTCTTCGTACGACTCGCCGATGCGAAAGCCACATGTTGCTTTCGTCCTGCGTACATCTTTGCACAATCCTGAAACGAGACCTCCATGATCCTCCCGCCAATTTCCCCCTCTTCAGGTGCCGATACAAAGCACCCTTTCTTGTTATAGCTCCAGAAGCTGTGGATTTTGTCAACCCTAAGCTATGGAAGGCTTATAGGAGGAGAACAGCCGTACAAATATGGTTGGGAATTGTACAGGTCAAACCTTAGCTATAGAAGAAGCTAAAGAACAAATGTAACGGGAGAGTATTGGTAATTATTCAGGCCCTTCTCCTACATGAGGTAGGCTGTTTTTTTAGCATTTGTTTTTGGTGAATTTTTGTTTGGGTTCCTTGGGAATCTTGGTGTATACGACCATAAAATGAAATTCATCCTACATTTCCCGTCTCAAGGGTCATTAGAAGAGATACCCGCGTATGCAGAAAAATCAAGGGCTGATATCTTCTCCGGGGGCCGAGCTGAACAAGTTGAAAAATGAGATTTGCTAAGCCACTCATGAACAGCTGTGTTTAACTGCAAGTACAGGTAATCCGTCACATTTCCGAAAGAGGGTGGCCCCTGAAATACCACCAATCGCTTTTAGTCCTCAAAATTGAGACTTCCAAGTAGGGCCCATCATTTTGTGCAATTTCTTCCATGTGGAAACTTCAGCTGCAGGTTGTCCGGAGTTCTGGCATATGTTGCGTACTGTGTACAAGGCACACACAGCTGTGAACCCCTACACTCCACACCCCACTTATAGTTCTCATGCAGATGATGTTGAATCCTGAACAGTTACTGACTATCCTTCTGTCATATTCCTGTGATTCGACCGCCGCAATTCCTGGCCGACAACCCTAAAACCTTAAGAAGACCTGAGCCCTGAGCTCTGAATACCAACAACCTTCAACCCCGCACCCTAAACCAAAAAGCCCTCAACCCCATTTCAAGTCATAGGCCCTATGCATCCTTAAGGTTTAAGGTTTAGTGTTCATATAGGGGTAGTATAGGGATTATCTGAGCTACTGTCAATATTACGCTTACCTGGGGACCATTAAGGGTGGACATAGGGGTCCCCTTTGGAAGTTTAGTATGGTCCTTATTATATTTACTAATACGAACCCGTGCCCATGAATTACACGGAAAATATTGACTGTAGCTCATATAATAATCCCTTAAGCTTCGTTAAAGGGACAACGAGTTCCCCCCAAGTTTCTAGCAGCCGAAG